CCAACTGAAACCCTGCACCTGCTGAGCCCTTCCCCTCTGCCCCAGCCCCTGTCTGTCACCATTCTATCCTCTGTGCATGCATGCGCAGTTCACTGTTCCAGGTGCTTGAGAAAGTGGAATCCTGGTGGATACGGTGGTGCACATCTGGATCCCAGCCAAGAGGGAGGCTGAAGCAGGGGGATTGAACGTATGGGGTGAGCCTGGCCCATTTAGTGAGACATTGTCTCAAAAGAGAAAAGAAAAGAAAATGGGCCAGGTGTGTAGCTCAGTGGGAGCATGCTTGTCTAGTGTTGGGAGGCCCTGGGTTCATCCTTCACAACCGCCCCCCCCCCAAAAAAAAAGAAAGAAAGAAAAAGGAAAAAAGTGATCACACAGTTTTTGTCCTTTTATGACTGGTGTGTTCTACTCAGCTTAATGTCATCAAAGTTTGCCCAGAACTTCCTTCCCCTTTAAGGGACAATAAATATCTCCTCAAGTGCTTAGGCTTTTTAACCCATTCACCTCTCAGTGCATCCTTCCTTGCTTCCACCGTATGGCTACTGCTGAGGACAAAAGTGACAAGTAATCTGCTCAAGTCCCCATTTTTCATTATTTTGGGCATATAGCCACCTGTGGGATTGATGGATTATATGGTAACTTTAGTTCTTTAAATTGTTTTAGTCCGGCCCCTTAGCGGCGGTCCGGCCCCTTAGCCGCGGTCTGGGCGCGCGCAGCCAGCGGGCGCGACGTTGCCAGGATGGTCCCGCCGGCGCGGAGCAGGCACCGGGATGCGAGCGCCAAGCCACCGCCGCCGAGCGAGCCGCAGGACGGCGGGGAGCTGGGCCCCAAGCACGCGTCCTCTTCCCCAGAGTTCGGCACCTGCGGGGGGCCCCTCGCCGAGCCCGCCGAGGTCGGCCTGGGGGGGCGCCTGGCCGCGCTGTGCGGGGCGCTGGGCCTGCCTCGGAGGGCCGGGCGCGGGGGGCGCTGGGCCACGCCGCTGCTGGCTGCCTTTGCGGCCCTGTTACACTGGAGCCATATAACACGCCTCTTTGAAAATGACCGGCATTTTTCTCACCTCTCTACACTGGAAAGGGAGATGGCTTTTCGCACTGAAATGGGACTGTATTATTCTTACTTCAAGACCATTGTGAAAGCACCCTCATTCCTGCATGGAGTGTGGATGATTATGAATGATAACCTGACCGAATACCCCCTAGTCATTAACACACTGAAAAGGTTCAATCTGTACCCTGAGGTAATTTTGGCCAACTGGTACAGGATTTATATCAAAACAATGGACGTAGTTGGTGTTCAGACCAAGATCTGTTGGACGGTTACCAGAGGGGAAGGGCTGAGTCCCATAGAAAGCTGTGAAGGACTGGGGGATCCTGCTTGCTTTTACGTTGCTGTAATTTTTATTTTAAATGGACTGATGATGGCATTATTCTTCATCTATGGTACCTATTTAAGTGGCAGCCGGCTGGGAGGCCTCGTGACAGTGTCCTGCTTCTTTTTCAATCACGGAGAGTGCACCCGTGTGATGTGGACACCACCTCTCCGGGAAAGCTTCTCGTACCCATTCCTTGTGCTTCAGATGTTGCTGGTGACTCATATTCTCCGGGCTACAAAACTTCACAGAGAAAGCCTAATTGCGCTCTGCATTTCCAACGTCTTCTTTATGCTTCCGTGGCAGTTTGCGCAGTTTGTACTGCTTACCCAGGTTGCCTCCTTGTTTGCGGTGTACGTTGCGGGGTACATCGATGTCTGTAAATTACGACAGATCATTTATATACACATGATTTCTCTCACACTGTGTTTTTTCCTGATGTTTGGGAACTCAATGCTGCTAACGTCTTATTATGCTTCCTCTTTGGTGACTATTTGGGGTGTGCTGGCAATGAAACCACATTTTCTGAAAGTAAATGTATCTGAACTTAGTTTATGGGTTATCCAAGGGTGCTTTTGGTTATTTGGAACTGTTGCACTCAAATCTTTGACCTCCAGAGTTTTTGGCATTGCCGATGATGCTCATATCGGCAACTTATTAACATCAAAATTTTTTAATTACAAGGATTTTGATACTTTACTGTATACCTGCGCCGCAGAGTTTGACTTTATGGAAAAGGAGACCCCCCTGAGGTACACAAAGACACTGTTGCTTCCTGTTGTTCTTATAGTATTTATTGCAATTGTCAGAAAGGTTATTAGTGACATGTGGAATGCCTTTATTAAGCAGAAGACACAGATCAGAAAGTGCCAGTTTGATCACGGAGAGCTGGTTTACCATGCCTTGCAGCTGCTGGCATATACAGCCCTTGGCATTTTGATCATGAGACTGAAACTCTTCCTGACACCGCACATGTGTGTTATGGCTTCCCTGATCTGCTCTCGACAGCTGTTCGGATGGCTCTTTTGCAGAGTGCATCCTGGGGCTGTTGTGCTTGCCGTGTTAGCAGCAATGTCAATTCAAGGGTCAGCGAATCTCCAAACACAGTGGAATATTGTGGGGGAGTTCAGTAATTTGCCACAAGAAGAACTGATAGAGTGGATCAAATATAATACCAAACCAGAGGCAGTGTTCGCGGGGGCGATGCCCACCATGGCCAGTGTGAAGCTGTCCGCTCTGCGGCCCGTGGTGAACCACCCACACTACGAAGACGCAGGCTTGAGAGCCAGAACAAAGACAGTGTACTCAATGTACAGCCGAAAAGCAGCTGAAGAAGTGAAGCAAGCATTAATCAAGCTGAAGGTGAATTATTTCATTCTAGAAGAGTCATGGTGTATAAGAAGATCCAAGCCTGGCTGCAGTATTCCTGAAATTTGGGATGTGGAAGATCCCACCAACGCTGGAAAGACACCCCTGTGTAACCTCTTGGTGAAGGAGTCCAAGCCTCACTTCCCTACTGTATTCCAGAACAGTGTTTACAAGGTCCTAGAAGTTATATGAGTGATGACAATGTGAATTGCTGCTGACAGACGGTTTGCATCAACCATGGTCTTAATGTTTTGCTAATGAGTCATGTTTTGTTTTTAATTCAAATCCCAACATTTGTATAGGCAGCAATAAAATTGGAGGACATTTGATGAGTTTGAGCATTATTCTGGTTGTAACAATGACTTGTGTGCTTACTGATAGGTTACTGTTTCAGGGCACTCCTGGAAACTTGCTATGCAAAGAAGTATATGCCTACATTTGACTTACGTATGTGTGCTGAAGCAAGCAAAGTGACTTGTGTAAAACTGTGTGCTGGGCAATTGACAGAGATGGTGGGAGAATGTCCATCCTAAAAGGTGCTGGGCTGATTGGGCTTCATGTTACACTGGTGCCCCTTGCTTTGCCCCCCACTTCCTGCTCCTGAATCTGGTTGGCCTGTGGTTCCTTGGGCGTGGTTACCCACCCACTCAGCACCAGCACTGTGGTGCACGGGCAGGCGGGTGTGGTTGTTGTTGTGTGGTGTCTCCCTCTGGTTTTTTTTGTTCTCTTGCTCTTGTGATTGAAGCGTTTCCTGGCTATTATTTTCCGAGGCTCTTAGATCCAGTGGCGAGGACCAAATTCCTTTAATATCCAACCCCTGGCATTATTGTCTCTCCCAGACCTAGTTTTTGTCAGGTAAATGTTTTCTCATCAGGTTGCATATCAAGTACTTGTTCTTGGTTTTAAAAAAAATGATGGGCAGGGGAGATGGCTCAGTAGAATAAGGGCTTGCCTGGCAAGTGCAAGGGCCTGAGTTCAATCCCCGGTTCCACCAAAAAAACCCAAAAGGTAACTGAGTATTCTCCTCATTTTTAGTATTATTCAAATGTTTATATTTTAATACCTTTAGACCAGTTTAAAAATTTTTCATATTTAATTGTAGGTTAAAGAGAGATTATTTTGAAGAACCCCAAATGTGTCTATATAGAAGCTAATGTATATTTAAGGATATATAATGTGCAGTGGACTGTAGTATCTGGTATTTTTTCTTTTATTATTAAGACAAAATAAAATATGACTAACTTTCTGTCAAAAAAGTAAATAATGATGAATGAGTAGTTTTTCTGTTTTGCTTTCAAGCTTTAAGTCCTATAATTTTTGCTTCTAAAAATCATCATTGTAATGTGAGGATTGAATGCATTTAGTCTTTCTCGTCATTCTTCCTACTTTTTATTTTTATTTTTATTTTTTTTAACATGGTAAGTATGTATTTAACTTTATTTTTTATTTTTTTTCAAAATTTTATTAATAAACAGATAGCAATGAGACTCTACTTTTTATTTTTTAAAAAATCTTCAAGTGTGCTTTGAATTCCTTGTATAAACTTTTATTTCTTAGAAGCTAATTTGTGTGAAATGAGATTGTTCAAGACACTGAATCATCCTCATTTTGAGAAATGGTTTTTTGGGAGCTTTTATTCTAAGCAAACCTTGACCATGGCTGAGTATGCATTTAATCCCCATGTTTTGTTTATTACCCACAGGCAGCTTCCCCTCCCTGTGGCTTGACCTTGGCACTTGGCTCCTTGGGGATTGTCTCTGGGCTCCTCATGGGAACCACAGAAGAGCTGCTCTGTGTAAGCCACAGCACCTGGGGACAACCTGGTTTAGGGGCACTAGCTGGCCGGCAGCAGGTGGCCACAGATAGCACAGAAGCCAAGAAATGAGTGTCCCTGCCTGGTCCTAGAGTCCCGGTGGCCTCCTTGCTGGGGGTCAGCATAGGTAACTGGGGACTTATGCTTGGTCTCTTTTGCTCAATGCTTGACAACTTTATTTCTTAGGGTTTTGCATGTCTTGGAAAACAGGGATGTAGCTGGGGATGTGTGAGTTAGGGACTACATCTGAGCAATGATGTCACAACTTGGAAAAATGAGGAGAGAGCATTTGAGACTGTGGAGAAAGAGCCCCACGGGGTGGGAACAAAGGAGGACTCTTGGGCTGTCAGCAGTGGTCCCTACCCGAATTGTGTACATCCAGCAATTATGTTTCAGTCATTCAGACTTCTAAAGTTACTCTCTATCTTTGCACCCTGTAACAAGCAAGTTCACATGGAACGATTGGAAATTCTGTACATCAAGAACCATTCAGATACTGTCACAGTCATGTCCTATGTGGGAAACATTAAAAGTAGCCTAAATTAGTTTTTCAGAAGCATCCTTTTGTAACAGTATTGCTTCATGTCAGCCCCCCCCCCGCCCCCCTCAGCAAATGATGCTTCTGTTCCTGGGAGTCAGTCGGGCAGAGGCTATGGGCTCTTCCCTGCTGCTGATTACAGACATGGAGTCGCAGTGCATTCTGGGTAAAGCAGTATTAAAGCTCAGTACTTTGCATATTTTTAAGATTTAAAAATATTTTTGTTTTAGTGTGAAGACAGTAAAGGTAGTGATGGAAATAGTTGTTGCTATGATATATAAGAAAAGCCAAGCTGGGGCAGTGGTTCCACAGAAAGCCAAGCCTCTCCAAACACCTAGCGGAGAGAGTGCCACTGAACTAAGCCAGTGCTGTTACAGGGAGACTGCACAGGAGTATGGTATTTTTATGAATTTTATGCCACTTGTCTGCATGGACTACATGCTAAATAAAAAAAGATCATGAAAACATGAAAAGGAATTGTTTTAGTGACTTGATTTTGAAGTCTTTGAGAAACTGCCCACTGTTTTCACGATGACTATGCCACATTACCTACACCAACTTCACCAACGCTTGTTTTTGTTTTTTATCTTTTTGTTTACTTGTTTATTTTGGTATGGGGAATCGAACTCAGGACCTTGTGCTTGCCAGGCAGGCTCTGTGCCACTGTGCTGCATCCCTGGCTCCAACACGTGTTCTTTTCTGTTGCTCTGTTTTGTTGGCAGCTGAGGATTGGACTCAGAGCCTTGCCCTTGCTAGGCACAAACAAGACCACTAAGCGACCCTTCCCTCACCCGTTTACTATGGTCATTCCAAAGGCTGGAAAGTGGTATCTAATTGTAGTCTTAATATACATTTCTCTAATGTTAATAATATTGAAGATCTCTTTATGTGTCTATTAGCCATTCAGATATCTCCTTTGGAGAATGGTCTGTTCAAGTTCTTTGTGATTTACTTATTTATTGATGGATTGATTGTCTGTGTGAGTAAAGTTTATTTAAGCTGTGTAACTGTCCCTTAGCACAAAATGAATCCAATGTGTATCCATGCAAACACACTTACTTGTCTTAAAAAATTAGAAACAAGGCAAATATTACTCTATGAAAACATTTAATTCTTTAAACCATACATAAAATTATTTTAAAAATAACCCTGGCACATAATTTTTTTCAGCATCTAATTTTAATTGTCCAAACATCATTATCTTAGCCCATATTTTAATTGGGTTGTGTTTTGTTGTTGTTGTTGTTATTGAGTTGTAGGAGTTCCTTCTATGTTCTGGGTTTTTATCTCTGTTATGATTTGTGTCTAGTTGTCCCCCCAAAGCCTCATGTAGTTATCAGGCAGACTTCTAGGGTTTGTGATTAATTCCTGATCCAGTGCTGGGATTATGGGTGTGAGAGCTGTACCCAGCCTGGGGCGGATAACCTGAATGTAACCTAAGGGAGACAGACTTGCCCTCTGCAGCTATTGTTGGCTGCTACTCCTCTGTTTTGCTACCGCCATGAACTGCTGCCCTCTGCTATTGGAGCCAGCTGAGTATGGACTGAAACCTCCACCAACTGTGAGCTAAATATACCTTTCCTTCCTTAAGTTTGGGGGTCAGGTATTTTGTCCCAGCAATGAGAGAAGAGTAACTGAGACAATCTCCTATGAGGTAGAACATTTGTAAACATATAATCCCATTCCATGAGTTGCTTTTCTGTTGGAAGTGTTCTTTGATGCTCATAAGGTTTTAATTTGATATTGATGTAATTTATCTATTTTTTAATTCTGTTGCCTGTGCTTTTATTATTATATCCAAGAAATCCTTGCTATATCTCATGTTATAAAGTGCCTCACTATGTTGTTTCCTTGGAGTTTCATGGTTTTAGCTAAGAGGTCCGTGACTAGCGGTGGTGAGCCATCTCTGAGGCTGATTCTGGAGAAAGACACCTTCCTGGCCAGTGTAAAGCCCAGCAGCTCCTTCTGTCAGTGTGAGCCTAGCAATTAGACAACTGACAACATGGATATGCTATTTAGAGTCTTCAGTTCAAGAGACAGACTGGGGTGCGGGGAGCTGGGGAGGCCCTTGAGCTAATTGCTCTCATCATTGCCATTTACAGAGTGCTTACTCTGCGCCAGGCCCTGTGCTGTGCCCCGTGCTACACTATCTCAATTACTCCTCCTAGCCCGTGTTTATCATGCCCTTTACGTTATCACGGCACACACTGAAGCTCAGAGATTTGCCTCAGATTGCCCAGATAGTAAGTTGTGAAGCAGAGACTCAAAATCAGGTTTATTGATGTCAAAGCCTCTCTGCACAATCGTTTTCCTGTCTTAGCACCAAGGCTCCAAAGCATGAACAAAGCAGACACCTCAGATGGGTAGAAATGTGCAATGGCAAGAGTCGAGCTGGGGCTGGGAGCCAAGGCAGGCTGTCTGAGAGGGTCGCGGTCTAGGCTTCTGGACTAGGACTTTGGATCTGTGCAGTGGGCAGGGTATGGGCACCTGAATGGCCACGTGAGAAATTTGATCTTGCTCTGCTAGAATGACAGACTCATACACGGCGCTTAGTTCTAACCTTCCGGTCTACCTCTTCCCTCTTAAAAAACATGAGAGAAAATCAAGGCCTCAAGAGGTTAAGCAACTTGCAGAAGGTCACAGGTATTAGGGAGACATCACGCTTTCTGCAGCAGGGTTGGAGTGGTGAAAAGAAGTAGGATTCTGCAGGGGTTAGCTTAGCAGTGAGGTGCATGAGGGATGGCTGAGGGGAAGCAGAGAAAAGTGGCAGGAGGACACCAACAGCTCCTTCCCTGGCTTTTGCTGAAGAATACTGTCCTCAGCCACAGCACTTGCTGCGAGTACCATCCACGAGGCCTCTTCGCTGCATCTTCTTGCTGAGGTTTGTCACTCAGGAAGGCATGGAGGCATATCGTGGCGCAGGTGTCATTAAAAAAGTAAAAAGATTAGAATCACTTTCCCCTGCCAGGCCCAGTGGCCTCAGTAAGTCACAGGTGCCACAAGACTCAGCTTCTCCGGCAGCAGCCTGGCCCTAGCCTCCCCCTTCCTCCAATGGGAGGCTGGTCTGGGCTGCAGCATCTCAGGGCTCTGAAACGGCCAGGCAGGTTCCTCCTGGCACCACCTCTTTATGTTGGCTTCTAGGACCTGACACTAGACTAGGCCTCGGTCCGTCTAAGCACCTGTTCCCTGAGGGTCACCTTAGCAGGAAGGGAAGGCAAGAACACCCCCATGCAAAGATGCCAACCCCATCCTGCTCGGGCCAAGCTGGGGAAGATTTTGTTATTCATCTCTCTCCAGCCAAGAGCCTGCTCTGATTGATTCTCCCCCTCTGATGTTCTCTTTGCTTAATTAATTCTAATAATAGCTACCACCAGTGAGCGCTTCCTCCGTGTTGGCCGCTGTGCTAAGTGTTCGGCACGCATGATCTCATTTTATGCCTTCAACCCTGCAATGAAGGTATTATCACCCCTACTTTGCACATGATGAAACGGAGGTGCAGAGCTGTTACATAATTTGCCTAAAACCAAATGAAGGAGCTGAGGCTCCCATGGAAGCCCATCTCGTTCCAAGCCTGTGCTGCTGCCAGCATGCTTCACTCACTATACCTTTCACCTGCTCTTTGCGGGGGCTATGGAGGGTCATGTGTCAGGGCACACAATACTTGCTGGATGGCTCTACTAATATCTTGGGATCACTGGGAGCCAGGCACCTGGTCTCTTTAAAAATCCAAACTCTCGGTCTGAGTGGGAATGGTATCTGAGCAGGTATTCTTATTCTAGGAGTGATGTTGAAGAAAGATAAGTGAGCTTAAAGCTCTTCTCCACTTTTATTTACCCAGACAGCAGTGCTTAGGTGTGCTGTGGACTGGGGAACAGTGCTGCCATTTGTATAGTCATCATTCAGCTGACATGGATTGAGGGGACTCAGGGTCAGCCACAGGCTGGGGACATCCTAGATGTTAAAATATCTAGAATCAGAACAAGTCAGGGCTTCTTTCTTCTTTCTTTCTTTCTTTCTTTCTTTCTTTCTTTCTTTCTTCTTTCTTTCTTTCTTCTTTCTTTCTTTCTTTCTTTCTTTCTTTCTTTCTTTCTT